TAAGGGATTATTTAAAAATAGTTATAGTAATGTGAAGCAATGATTACTGCTAACAATTAGTTACAGTAATGAGTATTTTTTTTGACTTCTGTATGTCTGTACATATAATTAAGTATAATAAATTGGGTTGTATCGTTGCCATTCCTTTTTATATTACGTAAAAGAGTACAGAATTTGCAGCTTACTGTCAAAATACATTTCTTTATACAGACCTGTTGAGAAAAATGAAAGTAGAAGTAACATTGTTAAGATCTTTGCTGTTCTGTGTGTGAGATTTATTAAGTTCCATGCAGCTAATTTTAGCATTGTAAATGAGGACTATGAGTTGACGTCTGCATTTATAAATCTACAGTATAGCACATAATTCAGTGCCCAAGATCAGATCCCGTCTGACCCACCTCCCCCTGATCCATGCTGTTTGGAAGTGGGCCCTTCAAGATAAAATCAGATTTAATTATTTTGGTTGTTGAGTGGGCAAAGCATATCCTATTCACTAATTGTACTTCACTCCTGTCTTTTTTTTTTTTTTTTTGCGTATTTGCTTGTTGTATGAGCAACACATTCCATTACTGATGCATACTCTAGAGTTTGTTCTTGTTACTGTTAGCTCTTGATACTGTGGATGAGGGCGGCTTCTTAAAATAAGCTTGGTGAAGTTGCCGTCCGTGGATTTTTCTGTGCTGAAAATAGTTTTAAAACTTTTTCTGTGTTTATTAGTTGCACCCTGAATTAAAGGTTTCTTTTACCGAAGAGTTCTTTGTTAACCCTCACCACATTAGGGTATCAGCAGCCACCCTTTTTTTAGGGTGACAGTTCCTTAGTTATAAATAGATGTTTAGAATTATTGTAATATTTAATGAATGTAAAAAAAACCTGGCAGTCTGTTAATTCAGGCTTAAAATAGCTGCACACTTGCTGTACTGCTGTGCTTGTGTGACTTTCATGTTCAGGAAGAGGGGAGGGCGGGTAGAGTGCAAACACTCAGAATCCAGGTAAGCCGAAGTTGAAATGTGAAGCTAGTGTTTTAACTTGCTCGGTGGAATTTATATTTATACTTTGTATATCAAAGTGTATTTAGTTGTAAATAGGCAGTATTTTACTGAGTAACTTAATAGAAAATGTTGAATGAAACAGGCAGTCATGATCAGATGACACTCCGTCCCGGTTTTATGCTTTTTTTGTGTTTTAACTCTAGTGTGTTACGCTGATCTGCTCATTTTCTTTTTTGATGATTTTAAATTTAACAAAGAAATGCCTCACTAAGCAGGTGAAGAATTTTATTCAGCTTAGTATAAGAGTATAAGATGTGAATACTTTAATGCTTAAAAGATTTTTGTTTTAATATGGATTGTTATCAGTTCTCAAAAGAATTCATTTGTATATTTTGTTGATTATTTACACAAGTATTTATAGATATCATTTGTTTTTTTTACTACTGAGCTAGTAAATAATTTTCACACTTGGTAATGTTCATTTGACTTAAATTCGTTGGAAAAATTCTAAAACAAAGTGAAAGATGACTCCTCTTTTCCGGGCCTTCCAGCATTGCGGTGTTGACTTTGTGGGCAGCCTCAGCTGCTTTGTATGTGACCGCCTAGGTCCGAAATTGGCATTTCTCAACCTGTGTGTTTTCCGTTTTCTCATGCTGTCCTTGATTATGATTCTCTAGTTTTCCATTTGGCTAGTTGATCTGTTAATACAGCAGTTCAGATCTGTAAAGGATTGCATGAAACTGTAAGAGGCAGACTGGGCATACTCTAATTCAGATACCATCAAAGTGGCAGTGATAGGAAAACAAAACAAGGAACTGAGCCCGAGAGACATTAAGGATGACTTAACCATCTTGAATCAGATCAGTAGTTGGGTAAGTTAAGGAGGATGAAAAGATGCACAGTGGACAGTGAAACATAAAGTCACGTAAAACAACAGGTACTACACGGTTTGATGAAGAAAAAAAATATTGTTGGTTAACATTCCCTTTACTTGAGGTTCTGATTATCAGGACTACTGGAGTAAAAAGAATTTTTTTAAAACTCACTCTGCAGTGGTAATAAGCCATAAGTATGGGCCAAGTTGAAGGCAGAATCAGAAACTCCATCCTGGTTTCCCACATGAATGGTAGGGGCCCAAGGACTTGTGGTTTTCCTGTACTCCTCAGTAGAAAGCTGGGTTAGAAGCAGAGTAGCTAATGGACTTGAGCTGATACTCTGTAGGATGTGGGCGCTGCAAGCAGTGACTTAGCCTTCTGTGCCACAGTGCCAGACCTTGGAGTGGAAGGTTCTTTACTGTGAAACTACAGAGAAAATTATTGGGATTCTTGGAAGTCAGTATAATCCGATTACTCGCTCAGTGAACAACTTCAGCTAACTGATGTACAAGTACAGAGGTTAAATAATACTCATATACAATCACAGTCTTACTGGTAGAATTGGAATCAGAACTTGTGATTTGGTTATTATTACAAATAAAACACATCTGGAAGTGCTGATTCTCTGCTTGGAAAGGGAGTCCTCAGGGACTCAACAGTAAATTCCTCAAGGACCTAAAACTGTATGTACTCATCTTGTCATTGCTTTCTGTACATAATCTCCCTTCCCCTCCCCACCCACCCTTCTCCTCCCCACTTCACCCTACCCCTCCTCTCCCCTCTCCTCCCCTCTCCTCTCCTCCCCTCTCCTCTCTTCTCAAGATTTATTTCTTTTTATTAGAGAGGCAGATTCACAGAGAGAGAGAAAGATCTTCCATCCTCTGGATCACACCCCAGGTGGCTGCAATGGTCAGAGCTGAGCTGATACAAAGCCAGGAGCCTAGCTTCCACCTGGTCTCCTTTGCAGGAGCAGGGTCCTAAGGCTCTGGGCCATCCTCCACTGCTTTCCCAGGCCACAGCCAGGTAGCTGGGTGGAAAGTGGAGCAGCCAGGACGTGAACTGTATCTCATATAGGATGCTGGTGCTGCAAGGTGGAGTATTAGCCGGCTGAACTATCACACTGTTCCCTGTATTCTGTTAATAAATTTAATAATGTATCTTAAGAGACTGAAAAAGTTATGTTGGAAAGTCTTCTTGCCATTCATGTTAGACCTGAGTTTGGGAGCCAAAACCAGGACTTCATAACTTAGTTCATTTTTTCTTTCTAAGTCTAATAAATTATTATTTGGAAAACCATAAGTCTATGATCTGTTAAGGTGATCCTCCTACTTATAATCTAGATTTTAGAATATTGAAGTATACTTGTAATTGTGCTATTAATTTCATCTGTTCATAATGCATTCTTGTAAAATATTATAGTGGATTATTTGTTTAGGATGTTTGAATCTATTATAAGCGAAGCTTTGTAGCTTCCCTTCATGTCTTCATATTGGTACAGAATTGGTAGCTTGTGATTCAGGCATTTAAGTGAATAGAAATCTGTAGGTTCTTTTATTGGAGACCCAAATTAAAGGGTAGATGTGCAGTTGTCATGATGTCAGATTTCCTAATGTCTTTTCCTTGGGTTAGGATAAATGCTAATCGATGCTGGGCATGGTTAGGATAGATTTGACTGTAACACTAGGACTACAGAAAGCGCTTTAGGAGGGTCTGAAGTTTTCTTTGTGTAATGCATTCAAAACCAGGGCACTTTGATTTTTGTTATGTACTAGCTAGGGAGAAATCTTTGCTAAGTTTGACTGTTTAAGAGAGAAAATTTATGATAAAATAAACTACTATTGAAGTAGACAGTGTGCATTGTTTTAACTGATAAAAACTATTACAGCTGAACAAGAGCACTTTTGGTCATGTGTTCTAGCTGTGTTGGATTTCGTTTTACTGAAACAATTAAAGAATTTAGAAAAATTAAAACATGGCATTTTTATGGTAATTCCTTAAGGTCAGCAAACTGAAGATCCATATTTGGAAGATATCCAAAATATATTTTATAATAAAACCCATTTTGTTTCTAAACAGTGATGAATGCGAGGTGGGGCGTAAAGTGGCAGTTGGTGTCCAGTGAGTCAGAGCAGCGCTTGTGGTGTGTTCTGGCCAGGAGCCTCTCGGGCGTGGTGGATGAGCAGTGTCTGAAAGAATCTGTTTGCTTGGTGGGACTTGCTCATTCATTGCAGTAGAAACACTCCTCCAGCCCCACCTCTGCGTAGAGAAAGAAGCCTAGGAACTGTGTGGGCTGTGCTGTTTTAGGCAGGCCTTTGATTTTAGGTATCTCTGCATCGTTACAGTGTGGTCTGACCTGATCTAACTTGATCTCTGGTTACCGTTTGTTCATGACATTTCTGTGCTCACCAATTAGTGATCAAATCCCTGCTACCGTCTTCTGCTCTTAACCTTGGACTTGTGTAGTATTTGACACTGTTGATCATCCCATCCTGTCATTAAATTTCACATTTCTTACTTTCTGTGATACCTCTCTTCCCTGTTCTCCCTTTGTTTCCTCTTGGTTTGAGTATTTTTTTTTTTCACTCAGTATCCTAGAATATCCCTTTTCGTCCTTCCTCCCCTTTTCCCTTTGAGACATCTCATAACTTTAAGCACTGAGCTTCTATAGCAGACTCAGACTTCATTTGAGCTTGCTAGCTTATATTTTGATCACCGATTTGAATATCCTAAGGATAAAATATTTAGAAGTGCGGTCCAGGTTAAACTTGCTCAGATCAGCTCTGGAGTGTAAAAGAGCCTTTGGTATTAATTTCGTTTATTTAAACTAAAGCTATTACTTGGAATAACTTGCCTTATTGCAATGTAAAAAATTAGTTAAAATAAGATGTATATTGTGCTGGTGGTCTGTAGTGAGTTTTAATAGAATATTTTCTTAACATAAATTTTATTTGTGGTAGATATGAGGCTCATAGACCTGTTACAGATGAACTTTAGAGAATGACAGAATAAATCAGTAATTATTTATTGGCGTTCTAACAGTTGATCAATGAATTCCTCCACTGCCTATATTTTTTTCTTGGACTAGCAAGAATATCTTTTTGTCTAACACATTTAAAATTTTTACTTTTAACAGAAATTAGCAGAGTACGGAAAGACATGTACAATGACACATTAAATGGCAGTACAGAGAGAAGGAGTGCAGAATTGCCTGATGCTGTGGGACCTATTGTTCAGTTACAAGAGAAACTTTATGTGCCTGTTAAAGAATACCCAGATGTAAGTATATTTTTTTGTTCATTTTTTTCCCCTGTTTTATATAACTTGGAGAAGAAATTTATTTGATAGTAAATACTTAACTATTATCAATTGTTTTTAATAAATTCTTGCAAGGGATAGAGATATGAATAGTTCATCATGAATAGTTTAAAAAATCTTTGAAAATGTGTTGTTTTGTTTCATTTGGAAGTGAACATGGACTTTCTGGAGGAAGTGAGGAACTATGGAAAGAGCTTTGAACACCTGTCAGCACCAAGTGCAGCTGCTACTCGTGTTCCTTCTGACCTCTGAGAAGCCACGATTGAGCCTGCACTTCTCTAGAATGGACATTCTTTTGGCTCTAATGGTTTTCTAGAATTATTGTTTGTGATCTTGTTGCCCCCATCTTAGTCCATTGCTCAGCCATTCTCTGTAAGCATCTTATTACAAATAATGTCCTTGTCCTATACCAGTTGATTTCCAAATCCAGCCTCTTTGACTTAGGTTACAAAACTCTACATACAGTCTATTCTGTTTTTCTGACCTTGCCCTGTTTACTACAGTGCAGTCACTGTGGCTGCCTTTGGCATTTAGAGCAAGCCAGATCTGTGCCCAGCCTTAGCATCTTTCTCTTACTTGTGCCTTGGTTTATACTGGCTGACTTCTTGTCCAGATTTAGGTCACTCCAAAGAGGCATCCCCACACCAGCTTACTCACTGTTGCACTCAGATTTTTTTTTCCCCCGTGAGGTATTTCTTATTACCTGCTGCTTTTCTTTCTTTCTTTCTTTCTTTTTTTAAGGTATATTTATTTATTTGAAAGGCAAAGTTAGAGAAGAGGAGCAACAGTCTTTATCTGTTGATTAACTCCCCAGATGGGCACAGTGGCTGGGATTGGGTCAGGTCAAATTCAGTGCCTCAGTGTTGGCCCATCTGCCATATTTTCTTTCTTTTTTTTTTTTAAAGATTTATTTTTATTATTTTTTTTTTTGGAAAGGCGGATATACAGAGAGGAGAGACAGAGAGGAAGATCTTCCATCCGATGATTCACTCCCCAAGTGAGTGCAACAGCTGATACTATGCTGATCCGAGGCCAGGAGCCTCTTCTGGGTCTCCCAAGCGGGTGCAGGGTCCCAAAGCTTTTGGGCCGTCCTCGACTGCTTTCCCAGGCCACAGGCAGGGAGCTGGAAGGGAAGCGGGGCTGCCGGGATTAGAACCAGTGCCCATATGGGATCCCGGGCGTGCAAGGCGAGGACTTTAACCACTTGCGCCACCGCGCCGGGCCCTATCTGCCATATTTTCATGTGTGTTTATTTTTCTGTGTCCCCACCAGAATGTAAGGAACTAAGAAAAGGCCCTGTCATTGTTACTCGTGGCTGTGTCCCCCATAGTGTTGACACATGAATATTGAATAAGGAGGCAAGTTTCAGAGAATTTTCTAGTGGACGGAGTTGGTATTAAAATGTTGAAAATGTGATGTGCTTTAAGATTTATTGGTTCCATGGACCAGGGCACTGTTTTTATTTCAGGTGGCAAGTAAGTGCCTTAAGTTGGTTATGGGAAAACAAGGAAGCTGATGTTTCATGATCTGAATTTCCTATTTAGTGTTCTTTAAGGCTTGTGAATTTACTCTGTACATTTTTCTTGTCGTCGTAAATGTACACACAATCCTAGATATCACACTGAATAAGAGTTTGGAGAACAGAACTTTGTGGAAGAGAGGAATCAGGGAGTGTCTGAGAATTGTGTCGGCCAGCCTCGGGGGAGCAGCTGCTTGCTGTGCCGTTAACTTATCCATGCCTCCCAAACGTAATCTTCAAAATTCAGATTCTTAGAAAATGTGGTTTGGTCCAGTCTGCATGTTGAAGGAGAGGAAGTGACAGGCCTAGATGTGAGCGCTGTGAGCCTGTCCTGGGTATTTGGGTTTTTCATAGCGGTAGGAACTTGTGACTTGGGTTACTGTAGATGAGCTGTGTGGGTGTAGTGGTCCGTGGTGAAAGGGTAGTGACTGCTTGGGAATGTTGTGTTTCTTTCCCTGGGAGTGCCAGTCTGTCCGGCTCACACAGCGTCTTAGTCAGGCTTTTACTTCTGCTAAGATCCAGTGGACGCAAATTAATAATTTTGTCTCCAAGGACAGTGGATGCTTCTGGAGAGGGTCTTGATTGGCAAAACCTTGTGCTATTGCCATAATAGCGGGTCGCAGTCAGAATGCTATTAAGCATGCAACATTCATGCATCAGCACCTGTGGGAAAGAGTGATGTGGCCCGAAATGTAATGGCTGTATCAAGTCAATTCAAGAGGAGGAGACTAGAAAAAAAAATAATTCAGATTATTACATTGGCTTTGAGTGTTAAGTTTTAAGCATATTGCTTTGCAGAAGTCTGCCTCATAAAATTATGTTTTGAAATAAACTAATGTATGGCACCTGATAGAGTACAACTAAATATGGTTTGTTTAGTCATGAATAAAAAAATGGTTCCTATTCTTGAAAAGCTTTCATTTTTATAGGCAAGAGGTAGAAGATAACTGCATTGAATCATTTAAGACAGTTGAGGTTTTTATAGTGGACTACTTGAACAAATTTGCAGAAAATGAAGTTAAAATATGCGTGTAGGAATCAGTGTGGTGGTGCGGGGCTCCTGTTTCTCAGCACAGCTCTGAGGCCCAGTTACTTCACCTGCTGGTCCAGCTTCCTGCTTCCTGCACTTAGAAGACAGCAGATGATGAACCCAGTGTTGGGACCTGCCACCCATGTGGACTTCCTGACTCCTGGCCTGACTCCATTGTGGCCATTTGTGGAGTAAAACTGCAGGTGGAAGATCTAAGATGAATTTATTTTACTGCAACAGTTTTGAAGAGTGTGAATGGGTTTTCATGAAATATTTTTAAAATAAGCTTTTAAAAGACCCTTTTGTGTAAGTTTAAAAATACTTTTACATAAAATGAACTTTTTCTGTTTTCCAAGAACTAGCCTCATTGATTCATAAATGACATGAGTGGGTATTCAGATAACATTTAGACTTATTTGGCTGGTGAAATCATTAATAATTTGCTTCCATTCATCACATTCATAAAAATAGAGTGAAGCCAGTTAACTGATAGATGTAAGTATTATGTTTGAAATATGTTTTAACAATTGTAAGTTTTTTGTAGTTTTATATATACTGAGTTTCTTTTTTTATTTTTAAAGATTTATTTATTTATTGGAAAGTCAGATATACAGAGAGGAGAGACAGAGAGGAAGATCTTCCGTCTGATGATTCACTCTCCAAGTGAGCGTAACGGCCGATGCTATGCTGATCTGATGCTAAGCCAATCCGAAGCCAGGATCCAGGAACTTCTTCCGGGTCTCCCACGTGGGTACAGGGTCCCAAGGCTTTGGGCTGTCCTTGACTGCTTTCCCAGGCCACAAGCAGGGAGCTGGATGGGAAGTGGAGCTGCCAGAATTAGAACCAGCGCCCATATGGGATGCCGGGGTGTTCAAGGCGAGGACTTTAGCCACTAGGCCCCGCCGCCGCTGGGCCCTGTATTGAGTTTCTTAAGCTGTTAGTAGACTGGTAGAGACCAGAATTGAATTCCCAGGTATTTGCTTTTATCAGACCCATCTCTGACTGTTGTGGGCATTTTGGGGAGTAAACCAACAGATTGAAGGATACTTTGTCTTTCTTCCTGTCTCCCTGTCACATTAAGTGGGAGGGAAACAGAAGCAAGCCCTCTCTGTCTCCGAGATTCAAATAAAATGAGCAGAAGTGGACAAGAGTTTTGTTTTCAGGCAGATGAACCAAGTTCTTTTGCGGTAGAAAATTTGCCTGTGATTTGACTTAGTCCAAGAGTTAGGATCGACTCTGGTAAAATTACTGCTGCAAATGATTTACAGGTAAGGTGGATCCCTAACTACAGGTGTCTGAGCTTACTGATGGAAGACCTGTGGGGGAGAAGCATGCCTCAGCACTGTGGGCACAGCAAGGCTTAGCAAGTGCAAGGGAGGCTGTCTTTCAGCATGTGTTGGTAGAGATGCATCTTGGAGTCAAACAGTTAACACCATAATTCCTACTATTTCCTCCAATATTGGGAAATGACATGGGCTATAAAACACTCAAAAGCTATATACTTTTAACACATTCCATTTCCCGTTTACGCAGGCTGCGCATCCCTTGGCTTAAATGCTTGGTATAGAAATGATTTGGGTTTTGATGTATCACATCGGGTCAGATGTGAAAATTTCCATTTGTGGTATCATGCTAACCCTGAAAGTTTGGGATTTGAAAGGATTAATGTTTCCAGGCTTTTGAATTAAGGATGTTTAACCTGTATTAGGGAGCTTAGATTTATTTTTGTAAGTGAATGAAATCATATGTTCTTTCTTGTGATTGCTGTTTGTGCAGAAAATGACAGGGTTTTTGAGAGAACCTGTGTTAACTTTACCTCACAGATATTGAAATGGATTTTTCCAACAACTAGCTTTGGAATTAAGATTGATTAATGATTTCATTGGGGAAAGTATTATTTTGTCTTAGTCAATCTAGCCAGTTAGCACAAAAATAGTTTACAAAAAAATGAGAGACTTGCTGAAATGTAGTTATAACTACCTTGCAAATCTACTTTCCCTAATTAAAAATCAATATCATTGGTAAAAAAAAAATATCTGCCATGATTTGACTGTTTTTCATATGGGTGTGATGTTTTTTGTTTATTTGGTAAGGAATTAGTTGAGCTTAAAGTGTGTACTGGGGGTTGTACAGTAATGATAAGCAGTATAAATTTGTCACTTTAAAGACAAAAGGAGAAGTGACATGTGAACATTAAAAATAGTAAAGTTAGAAAAGTGGACCTGACCATGAAAGTAACAGCAATGTTTTAGGTGCTAGGATATAATCTTCGCTACTGTGGTGCTGTCACAGCCATAATCCAGAGTGGAATCATGTGAGTGTGAACTCAGAGTGACAGTTAACGTGAAGAAGGAATGCACTAAACAGTGAAAAATCTTAAGATTTCTGTATCTTACTGTGATGCATGGAGTG